CGTGAGGCTTGTTTTTTGAGCGCGAGATGGTCGGGGAGGTGCTCAACGCTCCGAGAGGCCCGGAGCAAAGAGGCGCGCACTGCTGCAAGCAGAGGGATGCACGCTCCTGTTGGTGGCGTTGCTGTGGAGCCCTGAAGTGCCTGCAGGGAATTTGTTTTTCCCGCCTCATTATTTTGTTGATTGGTGCTTGTCGCGGCCTTTTGAGGCGGGGCGTGGGATGGACCGAGGGAGTGAGTTTCGTGCGACTGTGCTGTGAATTGTTGCTGCCCACTTTTGTGCAGATACTTCCGTTTGTGTCCGCGTCGTTGCCGCGGCAGTGCACTGGGAGCGTGTGACTGATCACTGTATCACTTGCAGACTGTTTCGGCAGGACTTTGAATGGCGTCGCCGAATGATGAAATTCCGCTTGCATATCTCTCTCTGTGTTTGTGTGTGTGTTGTCTTCTTCTGTGACTTGCCGTGTTGTTATTTTTTTTTTATGTGTGCAATTGTTTTCCATGCCGTCCCTTACAGACTCTCTTTTTTCCCGCACTTTGCGTGGGTGCTCTGCTCTCCGCTGACGTGTCTGATTTGCTGTCGCTGGTGTTCTCTTCACCACTTCCTGAACACGGACACAAAGGAAAGAAGTTAAAAACAAGCGCTAATCGCCACTGTGAACTTGCAAGGCACTGAAAGAAACAACAGCACACAGACCGCCCACACACACATATTTATATGCTCTCACGTGTTGCTGCAGTGAAGGCACCCCGCACACACAACCGTCGACGCGTGACCGGATCCAGCGGAAGGAGGAGGGAAGGAAGAGAGAGTGAGCCGCTGAGGCCCAACATGTCCCGGCGTGTGTTTGCTTCCGCGGTGCTGCTTCTCCTTTTCGTGTTGACGTGCGCCGCTGCTGGGCCTGCACAGGCCCAAAACCGTGGAATGAGAGTGGGTGATTCCTATGGAAGACACAGTTTGGAGCGGTCGCCAAGGGAGTATCCAGTCGCAGACACAGCGGCCGCTGGCCACATTTTCCGCAATCCCCATCTTGTGAATGTGGACGGGATGCTCCTGGCCATTGTTGGAGCTCAGTTCAATGGATCTGTGAGGAGCGGGAGTGCGTCCATGCAGTTGATGGCACAGATCAGCGTTGATGGTGGGAGGACGTGGCGGTCGTACGCGGGGCCAGAAGATCTTGACGCTTTTGCTGCACTCCCTCACCGGATGTCGTTTCCGTCGTCTTTTGGACCCCTCGGATCGCTTCTTGCATTTGTGGAGGGCTACGACTTACGGAACGGTGCCATAATTCGGTTTACCGATGGGTGGGGGGGAAGTGGGTTGGAGTCTGTTATCCATTTTCTGGAGACGGGGCCTGGACGAAGCGGAGATTTGTCGATGAGTTCCGTCTCTATGAGCATTCGCCCTCCCTATCCCTATAAATCCGACGACTTGATTGGCTTCCTCAACGATGCCAGTACTCCCATCACGAAAATGACGGATAACACGTTCGTGTTTCCCGTGCAGTTTCTGACAAGGGGAGGGGACACTGCGTCCACAGTCATGTACTGGAATTCCGATCAACAGCACTGGACCTTTGCGAAAAGCGCGACACATGCGGGCTGCACCAACCCCAGTATCCTTGAGTGGGAGGCTGGTAAAATCATCATGATCACCTCATGTAATTACGGCCGCCGCAGGGTGTACGAGTCGACTGACAAGGGGGAACACGTGGAAGGAGGCTCTGGGGACGCTCTCGCGCGTGTGGAGCAACTCATTGGCAGGTTCTGGGCTCCACATTCAGAGTGGATTCATCACTGCAACGATTGGCGGAAAGAAGGTGATCCTCCTCACCCAGCTGGAATATCCCAGACACGACAGCAAGGGCGAGATTCACCTGTGGCTAACAGACACGAACCGCATTTACCACGTTGGCCTGCTACCCACTGGGTATGGCGCGACCTCCAGCTCCCTGTTGTACGCGAATAATAAGCTGTATTGTTTGTACGAGGCCGGTGTTGGAAGCGACTCTGGAGCCTTCTTCTTAGATCTGACGTCCGAGCTGCAGAAGATATGGCATGCGCTGTCTAACTGGGCCGCAAATGACATTGCATTGTCGCGACAATGCAGCTCAATTGCCTCAGGCGCCGCGCTGTCAAGAGGGGACTGTTCTGTTCCTATCCCCACGACTGGGCTTGTGGGCCACTTGGCCGATACGCTCCGTGGGGACAAGTGGGAAGACGAGTACCTTGGGGTGAATGCCGTTGTGAGGGGTGCGGCGAAAAAGGTTCCCAGTGGGTTGACGTTCGAAGGGCATGAAGCAGGGGCCGAGTGGCCTGTGGGCAAGCAGTGGCCGAACATACCGCTCCACTTTGCAAACTATGGGTTTACTCTTGCGGCAACGGTGTCGATTCACGAGGTGCCGAAGGGCATCACTCCCCTGATGGGCCTGAAGAGAATGGGGAAGACAACACTCCTGGGACTGTCGTACGATAATAATATGGGGTGGCGCGTGGTGAATGACTTGTACCCAAGGCATTTAACCAAATGGGAGCTGAACAAAACGTATCACGTGGTGCTTCAAATGCATGACGGTGTGGGCTCCGTGTACGTTGACGGGAAATCCTTGTTGAATTTGACCTTGACTCGTCCTTCTGATGAATTAATGGACGCGGTCTCACACTTTTACTTTGGCGCGTACAATGAGCAGTTGCACAGCGGAAAAATTCATGCGACGGTGGCGAACGTCTTTCTGTACAACCGTCCGTTGAATGAAACTGAGATTGGCGCCCTCAACGCGAGTAAAGTCACCATTCCACCTCCGGAAGGGAAGCCGGCGAAAGCGGCGGCAGTTACTTCCCCGCCCGTTGAACCTTTAACCACTTCGGTTGCCACAGAGACGCAAGCAACTGCGCCAGCGCCCACTCCTGCCGCACCACAGCCGACGGAACAAGTAACGTCGAACGGGAGCAGTGGTGCGAGCGGTGGTGCTGCACCCACACCAGCGGTGTCCAATACCACGACACCCACAGCAGAGGAGAAGAGCGCAGGCCAGTCGGCATCTGTTACATCTTCAAGTGCCGCCAGCTCGGAGGATGACGCCTCCTTGTCTGATGGCTCAAAAACGGTGGGGACAGAAGTTGCCGATAACAAGCAGGGAGATCAACCAACCCAAGCCTCTGCGGGCATCTCCGACGCAGCAAATGGCGCAACAAATCCAAAATCACATGCCGCTGAAAGCAAGGGGCAAGAAGAGCCCGCAGTAGCAACTGAGGGGGACGTGAGCTCTGGTGAGAATGAGGGGACGGCGGGAGGAGCTGATGGGCAAGAGGAAGATATCCAGCCACAGGATGGGGAAGCAAAGGCTGCGGCACTCGGCCTCGCACTCAAAAGCAGTCTCGGAAATTCGTCGCAGCGGGATGACGGCGTTGCTGGCACCATGCGTGAGAGCAGGGTGCTGCTGCCGCTGCATCTTCTGCTGTTTGGACTCTAGGGGGGTTTGCGGCTCTGTGAGGAGTGTGCGGCCTCAGTGTGGGACAATTGCGCCCTCCCTCACACCGACACACATCCGGTAATGGATTACTCTCCGCAATTCTTTTCTTTTTTTTCTTGTTTGTTTTTTCTTTCCCCCTTCTTTTGCTTGTTGCCTTGGGGCAATCACTATGGAAGTTTTTTTTCTTTTCTACTCTCTCCTCTTTGTTTCTTGCGGCACTCTTCCTGTGAGGGGTGCCGTGTGTTTCCCGCCCAACTGCTCCACTCGCACACCCACCGACACGCTCATGACGACGGCCCTGTGCGCCTCGCCTGCTGCACGCATGAGGAGGGGCCGCGACG